TCTTGTTCTTGTCTCATGTCTTAGTTGTCTAATCTAATATTTTCTAGTCCCCCAAACTCCTGAAATCTCAAAAGAAAAAGTAGCTTATAAGATTTCTGCTTGTTATGATTTTTAGTGATTGTTTTGCATTGTGATAAAAATGTAAAAGTTGGTCAACTGTCAAATCATAATTATGCTCTTAAACTTCGGTTAAATAGCATCTGCAAAATGATAAAACCTTGTTTCCAAGTGTATATAATTTCCTCGGTCACTATTTCGATGAACTAACGTCCCATAATAATGCAGGCAAATGAAGATTGCAATTGCTACAGCTATGATACTAGAAAATTGGATGAAGCTAGATGTGTGCACAAAGATCATGTTTCTGCAGTGTAAGGCAGCCATCTTCAATTTTATGTCCTTGTGATTGCTGTAGATACTTAAGTTGACATCTCTTGGTATATAATTTTGTGTGCTAATTTTTCATGACCCCTCTGCAGGATGGATATCGATTATTCACCAACTGGCCGTGAATTTGTAACTGGATCTTATGATAGAACTGTGAGTTCTCTTACAATTATATGACTGTCCATTCTTGTGACAATGTTAATGTACCTATTGAAGAATTATGTTTCCTTGTCTAAGACAGACTGCGATCTAACTATATTTTGCATTTTTACAGGTGAGAATATTCCAATATAATGGTGGTCACAGCCGAGAAGTCTATCATACCAAGAGAATGCAAAGGTTTTTAGTGCACTAGAATGTTACATTTTTTAATCTTTTGTATTTTCCCTCCCAATATATCTGAAGTTGAATTATAATTTGAACTCAGTTGACGACGAGTCAATTATAATTTGAACTCAGTTGAATTATGGTTGCTTAATTGGTAATAATTATTAACAAAATGTATAATATATGTTGTTTCTATGTCGATTAGATATGTACTGATATTATTTTGTTATCCATATAGAGTATTCTGTGTCAAGTACAGTTGTGATGCAAGTTACGTTATCTCTGGGAGTGATGACACCAATCTTCGACTTTGGAAGGCTAAAGCATCGGAGCAATTGGGAGTTGTATGATTTTATCCATCTTCATTTTTATTGTCATCATTATTATTGTCCTTTTTAATTCACTTTACTCTCATCAAGTTTTGTAGTCTATAGTTGGTCCATTAAAAATGCCATTCTCGAAGTTGAGATCAAGAAAATACACATAGTTACTCAATAATAATGGAGCTTTTGTTGTTTCATTAGTAAATTCCATGTGTCAAAATGCTGTCTGAGTAAGTTCTGCCATTGCAGCTTCTGCCAAGAGAACGTAAAAAACATGAATATCTGGAGGCTGTCAAGAATCGTTACAAGCATCTTCCTGAGGTTAAGCGCATTGTCAGGTACATAAATTTATTGAATTTTTCACTGAGGCAATTTTACCATATGCTTCGCCTTTAAGATTTGAATAGTTTTCTGATTTCTCCTTCTAAGTGTTGGATAAGGTGAAATTGGACGTTCTGCTACTAAGGTTAAATTTTGTGTGCCTCAACTTCTATTTTTTTACTCAACCCACTTAGTGATGGTGAAGGGGGTGACTGTTGATGTTTTTGACCTATCCTAGAGATGGCACAAATCTTAAATCTTCTACTTTATTACATGGGAGTATTTTATGCAATGCAACTGTAGATAGTTACTATTTATGTTATCAAGGAAGTATTTTGATTATTATGTCTTGATTAGAAGTTGGATGGGTTTTCCTTATTTTTGGCAATGAACTAATTTCCAACCCTCACATAAGATAGGAAGTGAAATGGGTGGTCCATGTGGCCTGGTGATGTGATCACGTTAAGGGTTCTTCAGCTGTTCATACAGCTGAGATGTATTCTGTCTTGTGATGTACAGGCACAGGCACTTGCCAAAAGCAATATACAAGGCTGCTTCCCTCAGGCGTATTATGTCTGAAGCCGAAAGAAAGAAAGAAGAGAGGAGGAGAGCCCATAGTGCCCCCGGTAGCATCCCAAAAGAATCATTGCGTAAAAGAAGAATCATCGAAGAAGTTGAATGAACTCGGTGCAGAGGAATGGATTTACTGTGTGTTCATCATGCCCTTAAAATTCTAGGGTCTCAAGTGCCATGGTTCTAAGCTCGATAGAAAAAGCGATGTCCTGGATTTGTGATGTTGTGAAGTCTGTTGTTCCCGCATATAGAAGCAAAGACAAAGACTTCACGAGCGCAACAATTTTGATGCAATTTGGAAGGTCTACTAACATTTTTGTAATAGGATTTAAGGAGATAATTAAGATTTTACTCGAAAGAAACATTCAATCAATTTGAAGTATCTGTAAACAATATTATTTCAGTATTGTTGAGGATGAAAAGTATGATGATGCATTCTATTGTTTTAAATTAACTTTTGGAGTTACTATAGAGGATGATGTGGCTTATCTATGAATTTTGATAATTAATACCAGTAGGATGTCTAGTTTGATTATGAACCAGAAGGATGTAGCATATAGGATTAGTAGGGATTGAGATTTGGATGGTTCTTGTCCTAGAGACAAATTGTGAGGATGCTAGCTTATTTAAAATAAAAAGTTGAGGATCAATTTGCTATTTGTACAATATTTTGGTGATCAATTATTCAATTCCCCAAACCTTTAAAGTTTGTTCCACTTCATAGTTTTTATCAATTGAAGAAATCAAGAGTTTGTGTCAATGTTCTCCATTGAAGCAATATTATAATATTTAATGTGTACTTGTGTTACTATTTCAAAGTATTGGTTCGATAGCACTTATTTACCTACCATGCCTTTCCTCTAGTATTTGATGAAATTGTAATGTATTTTTATTCATTTGGTCATGTTTGGTCTACATTATTTTTTTCATTATCATTCTTCTATTCATTTTTAACCACACATTCTTTAATAAATAATATTTTCTATCACATCAATAACTTTTCATTCTTTTTCAACCACATATTCACATCATATCTACAGTAAAATGCATTTTTACATTCAAAATGTGCACCAAACGGGGGCTAAATGTGACAGTGCCGTTGATAAGAATCTAACAAAAGAATTATTCAGATGCACAATAAATCCTCTGATAAAAATATATATTGTGGAAAGTTACTTTGAACAATTTTTCCAGTGACTAGGCATTGACTAATTTGAGTTGCCCATGCTTGGCTAATGTTGATAAACGCTCCATAATTGGTCAGTTTTTTTTTTTTTTTCCTTCAAAAATTATAGAAATGATTAACCGTTAATATTACAATTTGGATAAAGTTGACCTCGATGAACAAGAAATAATCACTCGTCTCCACAAACTTTTAAAATTGATGGTGTTTATTTCCCCGACTAACAAAAACTTCCTTGAATGTTAGATGGTCGTGTGATGTTGTAGATGGATTGAAACAAGGGAAGATATTTCGTGAATACTGACGAGTCTTATGCTACTCGTATGTCTAGTAAAAGTTATAATCATCGTATGATTGCTTTTGAAATAAAGAAAATCATTTTGAAAAATTTTACACTTTCAACCCGACGTCGAATGAGTGTCACGTGATCATTTAACATTCAAATAAATGTTTTTAAGTTGGTTAGGACATGACTTTCACAATTTAAAATGGTTGAGGACATGAGAAAATAACTGATAAGTTGGGGACATGAATGTCAGACATATGAAAGATTGGGGACCCCTTAATGTAAATTTTCCTCGAGTAAAACAAATAATGTTCCTTTTGTTTAACAAGGACGATTCTGTAATTATTGAATAAGCAGAAAATATCAGCAGTATATACTGGCCACGTAACCGTTCACAAAGAAACAGTCCTCCTCTTTCAGCGTGTGTAAGTGTCGCTTTGTATTTTACTCTGCAGAAGCATCAATGGCGCCAAGAGGCAGAATCCGAAAGGTTTTTTTTTTCTTTTTTTTTTTTTTTTTGGTTTTTTGGGCCCAACTGCTTCTTGTGTTAGATATATGCTTCAAATTTTCCCTTTGCCTCCTCTCGTTCTTAATCCTTTATATTGATTTTTGGTTTTGATGTTTAGCGCCGGTTAACGAGAATGGATGCGGCTATTGACGCCATGACTCCATATGGATTCTCGGAAGATCTAACAAGGAAGATAGCAAGAGAACTTCTCAAGGTACACGTTGAAATTATTTGTACTTTTTTTCATCTTCCCTGTTACTGTCATTTCATTTTTCTTCGAAAACTGAGGGAAAATAAGAGAGTTATTGTTTTTTTTACATAAATGTGGGTTTTATTTGAGTTGTTGAGTTACAAAGTGGAAGAGAAAACAAAATAGGGTTTCGTTTGGTTGGCGGTTTTATTTTATTTTATTTTCTGTTTTTCAGAATTGAAGGCAATAAGACTGGGAAAACTAAATGAGAATGGAGCTAACTTCTCATCGCTTTTGCTAAAATAAATTTCTCGAATATGAAATGAAATACATTGGGAGCACTGGAGAATCAATGATATAGGAAATAAAAATATCAATTTGTTACATTTATGTGACTGTGTGATGCTAATGTAGTGTAACTGTGAGTCAAAAATGATTTTACATGATTAGTAATTTATTTAATTTTTTAACCAAGGAATATGGGGGAGATGAAGCATGGTTTTTCATTGAGCAAGACACATATGAAGTACTACGCGAGGCACTTCTGCGCGATGTAGAAGAAAATGATCGAGAGATAAGTGCACAGGATGAAAACCACACGAAGGTATCGATTAATGGCACTTTCATATTTCTTTGCCTAATTATAATTTTACATGAGGATTTTGCTTGTTCGCAAGTTTAACAAAGTATAGAAAAGTTAACAACATTTATAAAGCTATGCTTAAATTGTTAACAAAGTATACTTGTGACCGAAATCTTGCATTTTGTGGTGACAAAAATCATCTAATTGATTAGAAATATGTCTCTGTTATGCAATGAGTAGTGGGCATGATAAATTGCATTTGCATTTCAGATGAAATAATAGAATGAACTTAATTAAATCCCTAAGATTTTATTTTTTTTTCCCTTGTAGTTCTCCCATATACTTAGGATTGCATAAACAGAACTAAATTTGACTTTCAAGGGGGACAATTAATGCCATATTTTACTTTTTCTTAATCAATACTTTGTAAAAACGATTCTTCCTTTGTCATTTTGTTGATATTCCAACAGTAAGAACAAACTACATCTTATTTTCGACAAATACGGAACTATTCTTCCTTTTGTCATTTTATTGCTCTTCCAACAGTAAGAACAAACTACATCTTATTTTCCACAAATTTGGGTTCATTACCTTAATCCTTTTTCCTCGTTTTGTTGGTTATTGCTTCATCCACCATAAGAATGTCTGTGGATCTTCTATCAAGAGATATTCAGATAAAAGCATTCATTAATCAGATAACTATATGAATAGGAGAACAATAACCAGATTTACGTAAAAGGAAAGATTGGGAAAGCATCCACGTATTAATAGCTTTCCTAGAATGACTTGCCTCGTAAGGAAATGACCTATAGGCACTCACTCCCCTTTTGGGTTATTGCTCGAATATAAGTTTCTCATTGTCAAGCATTTAAAATCTTAAATCTTCCTTCATTTTGGGGATCTTGGTTAAAGGAGTCTGAATGAGTGTGGAGAATGTTTCTCCGTATGTCTAAATGAAACGTACTTTTGACCATATTTGACAGATTGAGGCCTAGGTTTCATTGACAATGATCGTAAGGTGAGATAAGCTGATTGTTGCTTGTGGCTATGACTACAACTACTGATGACTATTTTGTGGGCCTCGTAAAAAGTAACAAATTAGTGATCAGGTCTTTGTATGCACCAATAGTTGGAGGGCACCTTAGTTTCAGCTGTTTTGATCTTCTTCATAGAATCCATATCTAGAGCAGTTGCACTTTGATGTCAGGTTCTTTCAATAGGGATTAAATTTAGTGATGACATTTCCTAGCAGTCACTCGTTTTCTTCTTTGAGTTCTGCATCAAGTATTGGGAGATGTCACCTTTATTTTGTTTAGAGATGAAAAAAATTTGAAAGAGATGGAAGGTTGAGTCAAAAGTGATGGATTGATATCCTTTTCTTTGTTTTGTTTGGTCAGAACTCAAGGAGAAAAAATACTTCATAAACTCCTTCTAACTTCTCTCAGATTTCTTGTTTATAACAGTACTGAGCCCTGGATATACATCTTTTATAATTTTCGTTTATCATCTAATTTTAAAGTTTAAAGGAAATATTTATCCCATTTTTCCTTTTTACGTTTTTCACCACTCTATGTCACGTGCAGCAACACATGGAGCTACATCCATCTACATGTACAATATGAAACCTTTATATAACCTGCATTTGTAATTTCTTTTATTAATTCTTATGCATTTGGAACAATAACCAGTCACCGATGATATGAGATCATTGATTTCCTGATATTTATTTTGTCATACAAATGTATAAATCTTTACTCCTTAAAACCTGTTGTTATCATGTAGGATCTCCCAATGGAAACATTTTATTAATGCAAAAAATAGACAGTTGAACCAAATATTTTGCATGTTTAACATTTTCTTTGCAAAATATTCCCGAGTTTGCACCTCTGGCCTCTTAATATCTCTGGATTCAGTTTCTTAACCAAAAAAGGAAAATTTACACCAGTGCTAGAACATTTATTATCAATTGATTAAAGAAGTTGACAGTTAGAATGATCTGAAATGCAAGCTGGGATTAATTGTTAAAATGTAGACTTAATTCTTTGACATAATTTACACGACTTTTGTTTAGGTCGCGTAAAAATGTATAGGTTTTGGAAGGATTACAATTTGTAAAGAGCCGTATTTACATGCAATGGTTTTTGTTTACAGAATGAGTCGAAGGATGAAACAGCAGCAGGGGCTTGCGGTGCAGCTACGGACTCCCCACAAGATGCTGAAATACCTGACAATGCTCCAATAGATGCTGTGGGTTCCTCTTCTGTTGTACATCTTACGTGTGCTGAAGGTGTCAGTATTTCATCTGGGATTGATTCAGGTTACAAATAATATTTTTGCTTCCTAACCCGGATTACGCATTAGCCTTCAGTGAAATCATTACTAATTAAATAAAAAAAATTAGGATTCCTTCGTTCTTTTAACCTAGAAAGTTGTTTATACATGAACCGGACATGCCTAACTTGCATTAGGATTTCGAAATATAGACTATTCCTGATCTTGGTAAAATATTCTTGTGCCAGCTGAAGAAAATGGAAGGGACTGGAAGGATATCGGCTTGGATCAGTGTGATGATCTGAGAACTGGAAAGGGTTCAATCCCTTCACCATTAATGATTCCTTCCCCGATCCCAACCCCGAGGCGTCGTGGACCGTGCTATGGTTGGCTTGAGAGTGATGAGGAAAACAACCCGAATGATATCATCTCTTTCCTCGTGCAAGTAGAATCAACACCAACAGTAGAAAACTTTTCTCGTGTTGGGACTAATTCGAAGGCCAAGCGCAAGTCAAGATGGGACGTGAAACCTGATGATCCCTAAATCATTTTTCCTATTTCACATGGCTGTGAATGTGCTTCATATAGATACCATTTTAGCTTTCATGGCAGACTTGATCTGGTAGTACAAAAAATGTTGTAAATTTTTGTAGTTCTTGACCAACTTTTTAAATAGTGTAATTGTCGTTGCAAATCTTAGTTCTTGCTGATTTAGATCCTCGTGGAAATTCTTCTCTCACTGATTAATTTTTAATCAGTTAGCTCACTCCTCGTTAAATTAGACACGTGCAATAATGTCTTGATTTAAAAGTGGGGGGTAGACTTGCTATAATGCTGTAGATTGGGGACTAATGCTATAATTTACTAAATGAACAATCAGATTTAAAGTTTTAACCCAATTTCGCAGAGAAATTGAAGGACCCAAGTGCTAAATTTCATAAAGATTAGGGATCTAGCTATTATTTTCCCTTAAGAATTCCGCAATTCTGAAGAAGTTGGTCGAAACCCTCAACGGTGCAGGGTTTAAGGCTTAGTCCAAAAACCCATTATATTTTCAGATCCCAACGAAAAAAAAATAAATCAAAGAAATGGCCGTAGCCGCCGCTTCCTTCGCTGCCAGATCTGTATTCCGGTCGTCTTCCGTTCGTAGCGCCGCCACCAGGTTCGGCTCCCAAGCGAAGGCTGCTCGCTCCCCCTTCCGCCTTCCTTCCAGGAACCCCCTGGCTCACCGCATCTTCCGGTAACCATAACCTATTCGTGTCTATATTTATAGAGATTGAATTTTACCTGCGTTTGGATTTTGATATATATGTAACTTGTGCATTTTTAATTTAATGGTTTTTCTTTTTATTTGATATATTTTGGTTGAACAAATTTGAAGGTGTCCAGCTGAGATGAGTGCGTGTATGGGGTCAATGCTACCCTACCACAGCGCCACTGCCTCAGCTTTGATGACGTCGATGCTCACTGTCTCTCGCTGCGGTTACGGTTGGCTTCCTGAAGGTAATTTTTTGATTCTCTAAGTGTTTCTGTTAACCTTTATGTGCTTTTTGTATAAACGGTGAAAAGTAATCCGATGCTTACATTTTGCCTTGGTTTAAAGTTGTATTGCATCGAATGGGTAAAACGATACATGCAATGACTATTTACAGTAATTTAATTCTTGTACTTGTAGTTCTTTGATATTGGTAATGAGCTATGATTTTCCCTTTAGAGCGTAGGTGTTGTTATCCTGACGAATTGTTGCTGTCTCATTATTACACTTGTAAATCAGATACGGCTGTTCAAATATTCGTGAATATGAATTCGTTAATTGTTCATTTAATAATTCTTAGAAATGATCCAATAAAATGTGTGGAATATCTCTCTCTCTCTATGTTTCCATTGTGTTTGTGTAAGTTTGGAGATGAAATGGCACAGTTTTGGTTTGTTGGTGATTTTGTTTCTACATTTTTCTTGATCAACACAGATTTTTTCCCCTTGAGTGAAACAAGTAGGAAAAGATCAAATCTGATTTATTATCACTCATGTCATCTGTTATTGGTCAAATTGTAGCACTTCCTCTGATTTCGATGCATGGAGATTCTGACTTGTACCTGAAGTCATGATTCTGTCCTTCGATTAGGATTCTTGTAAAAACGAATTTGAATGAGTATATGACAAAGGACATTGTGCCCTTGGTTCAAAAATGTTTTACAAAGTCATAAACCAATATTTGTTAAAACTAATCTTTGTACTGGCCTTAGAAGAAGCTAGTAATTTCTTCCAAGAACATGTATTTTGTAGAGGGGGATTTCTACAATCAATTCAGTATCTTGGTAGCCACCATCCGAGAGTGCACAGATTGTTTTTTCTTATTTTTGCATGTCAAAACTATTTTCCTCGAGAGAGTCCTTTTGAAATGTTAATAAATTTGTCTTAGAAGAATTTATTTTAATAATTTCCTACAAATAATTTCCACGGCGGTTCTTAACAAATGGGATTATTGGCACTTGGTTCCCATATTTTTTCTGCATATAGGTCCCAACTTTCAATAATATAACAAAGAGGTCTTTTTGGACAGTTTCACCAGCATTAAGTGTTGGTGAAATGACATTTTTTCCTGCACATTCAAATGATAAAAAATAGAAATGCTAAAGATGAAATTAAGCCTATATTTTGTTTAGCTAAAAATCAGATTTTTATTAGATTTTATAAAGTTGATGAAATGTATTGTTGAAATGAGTTCGAAGAAAAATGTGTTTTAGAAATGGGGGCCAAACAGGGGCTAAATAAAAAAGAAATTGATGTTTTTTCTAGAGAAATTGAATGTTGAATCCCATATTTCAAAAAGAAACAAGAAGGGAATGGAAACCTAAATGCCATTGATCCCAAAGGTTGCGGACCATGGCTGTAATTGTCTCACATATGTATAGCCTTATGTTTTCTTTCTCCTTCTTTATCCTTAAAGCGGCATTTTGTTCTATGAGATTTCTCTTACCCCTGCTTTTTGTAAAATTCCTTAAAGGTAGCCTAACCAATGGGTTTTTATTCTTTCTTTAGATATCTAGCAACACCTGTAGAGCCCTCTTTTGCTGTTCTGTTCCATCATTCACATCTCCGGTAAGTTAGTTTTTTCCTCAACGACATCCTAATGTTAATATAAGCATAGTAGGTACCTTTTGTAGTCTTTAGGCTTCTACAGAGTCTAGCAGCAGACATCACATCCTTCTATTCCGTCCTTGTCTTCCTCTCTGCACACTTCCCTCCCACGGATGATGAGATTGAGTTCCTTAAATAATATTTGAAATATCTATATCATCTGGTTATTGGATACTAATAGAAATATAGGATGAATGTTTTAAAAGATATTAGAATTTGGAGAAAGAAGAAGGCGATCTCAGCCCTATTGCGATGTATTTATATTCTGATATATACAATTATAAAGGATTACTATATGTAAGAAACTATATACTCGTCACCTACCTATAGGTAAGAAGAGAATAAAATTTGTACAGGAAATACATTAGCTGAAGGATAAAAAATGAAATTAATCCTGGAGCTAAATAAACACTAATCAAGAATTAGCCTTGACTGATGCCTTTTGTCATTTTTCATTTCAAGAGTAGTCAGTAATGACTATTTCTATTTCCTTATGCCTTTTTCCTCATTTAACCAAGAAGAGCCTTCTTCATTCTTCCTGTTGTAGGCCTTAACAAGACTAGATGAAGATGGAGAAGCAAAAAGGAATTACTTTACTTGTTTTGTGTCTCAGAGCTTGTTTTCTAGAGGACACTGCTTTAAATAGAAATGACCTTTCTTGGCTACTTTTAAATATGAATAAAATACTCTTCTCTGTGATCTTTAAATTAACTCTAGTTTCTGGAGTTTCTTAATGGATATATTAATTCTTTATACGCTGTGGTATGTTTATTTTTCAAATTCTTCCTTATCCCCACACAAACTTTCTTCCATCGATTGTATTTCTTAAGTATATTGGGGAAGTATTGAAAATATTTTACTTGCTGAACTGGGGCAGTCATAATTTGATTCATTTTTAGTGGTTGAAGATCCACTTTGATGTAGGCGTGATTAACACAGGATAACCTTTTTGAAGTAAATTAATTGGGATTGAAACTTACTATTTACCTTTATTTAATCAGTTACCAATGATGATGTGTGATGAATTTTTGGAGGGCAAGGATTATGTGATGTACAAACTCCGTCTTTGTAACATGGTTGGAGAGACTTGAGACAATTTGAATGAGCTGCAAATGGGCACCTTTGGATTTCACTGCTTCCAGATTTGGAGAAACTTCTAGATGTTGCTCTTTTAATATTGAGAGAGATCTATTGAAAGAATATCCATTCGTTTTGATGTTAAATGTACCTTGTAGACATTAATTTGCATGCATGATTTTCTAAGGTATAGTTCTACTTTTTTGTGTAATTGATGTCAATGCTGATAGCATACTCAAAAGTAATTTACTGATTTCTTATAAGTTAATCACCTGTGATCAGCATCATCCTTCAAAGCTTCAAGCAAGGTTTTCTATTCAAAACTGTGCATACTAAAAGTTTATAAGCCAGATGTATTAAATAAGTCTGCTATCATCTTTATTTTTTTGTGGGGTAGGTCAGGGGGTCTGGGTTGAACCATATCGTCATTCTGCTGTAATGACTTCCAACTGGCTGTAAAATAATTGCTCAACTTGTGCCATATCTAAAAGCTCTTTGATTCCTAAGACATATTTGATATCAATTGGCTATTGAAAGCAAACTGATCTTTTCACACTAAGTTGGAATCTACCCTTCTTGTAGCAGGCTTTGATGATGCATGAGATTTGACAAATGATCCTCTACACCACTGGAACTGGATTTTCGACTTGTTGGAATCTCCTTCAGAGTTTTGGTGTTCTGTTTGATGTTAAAAATTCTAGTTAGACAATGTTTGCTTGAAAATTGTTTCAGGAAATACTGTTCTATAAATTCCATGTTCTGTGTGCGTTTATTGTCTTGGCAAGAATTGTTTCCCATGGTTTTTCATCTAACAATAGTCTGTCCTCAAGTTCACAGTTCTAATAGGCAACAAATCTTCTATAGTACCAACCGTTGCAAGATTTTCACCTCCAATAACTTCATTTTATCAACATACTAAAGGTGTACGTGTGCATATCAAATAAGTGTGGAGATCAGGCATTTATATCTATCGTGCTTGTTCTTTCGTAACAAGAAACGCGCGACAGAGCTGCTATGAATGTATTAAATCTTTCTTAAGAACTTGGGGAAATTAGTACAATTCGTATATATACAGATTACTTTAGAGATCCAATATCAACTGCAACTAATGCCTGTGATTGTTGCTGCTCTTGTTTTTCTTCTACTATTTCCTCTTCAACCTTTTCTCCTTCTGAATGCTGTCTGCAGTATCTTACTATTACTAGACATAGGAATGCTGCAACAAGCAATAAAACAAACACGCTAGTAAGTTGCAAATCTTATCCAAGAAATCGAACACTAAAATATTTCTAAGCATATTTGGTACTCAATATTGAACAGTAGGACAAATGTAGTGTAGAAATAAATCTGCATAATTACCGGCAAATATTCGGGTTCTTGTAGAAGTCAGATTCCAAAAAGCAGCTAAAGCTGATGCTGCTACAATCTTCTTGTGAGAGCAAGCTCCCCATGCGTCCAACACCCAAGATTTTAGATACTCAACTGTTCATAATAAAAAACAAAAACAATTCTTTCAGCAAAACGTGTGTGATAAACTGGTAAGTTGAAATTATTGATAAGAGGTTTTGTTCTACCTTTTCTACATAATTGAACAGAGTAAGAGGAATACAGTTTTGGACCAGTAAAGCTTAAGAAAAACCCTGTCAGATTCACAGAAAACATCATCAAGGCAATGTTTAGCAAATTATCCTACCTTTACGGACATGTTTGGTACGAGCAATACAATGGACAATATATTAGCACGATCCGGTGTTGTCCAACCATTTTCCCAAACGTGTCATAAGTCTCTAGGGGATTCTTAATGATCTTACCAAGTGCACATAACCTCCATAGGGTAATGAGATGGCCATACTCAGCTCCAATAAGGAAAAATGGTACTACCTAATGATTAAGCAAGAAAATTATTATAATTAATAATAGTCCTAAATAATAAGCAGAAAATAAGGGCCCATAGAGTTTCTAGTTCTTGTAGAAGAGCTTCCCGAAAAAATCAAATTTCAGCTAGCTTCATTTAAAAACTCTTCTAGTCGGATAAAGCGTGTTTATAAGCAACTCTTAGTTTCAGAAGCAACTTTTGGATTTTAAAAAGCACTTCCACACTTGCCCTAAGTAGCTATACAATACGCTAATAATCAAAAATGAAGATCGTATAATTACTTTGAGGGTCATGGCTGGTTCTCCTGAAAACAGTTCCCTTGTTTTCGAAATTGCAAGATTTGCAGCTGGAAGTAAAAGCCTACCCACTTTCAAAATGTTGTCGTCTGTCAGCTTAAACTCGAGCTTAATCTCATTAGCATCCCTATAAATATGATATCCATTCAGCACCATTTGTAATAAAAGATTTACAGTATATTTTTAGCTTAACAAGATTGTGAAGTGTTGTTTACCTTTGCCGCATCGAATTGGAGAAGAAAGAGACTCCCAAAAGCAGAAGTCCCAATTGTGATATCAATGAGAAAATGCTACAAATAATGACATAGTTGCAAAGTTTTTCAGGTGGATTTCAAAGCAAAGATCAACTGAAAATTGTAAAAAAACTAAGGGGAAATAAGAGAAACATACCTGAAGTTAACTCCCTTTGTAAAACAAGAAGATAAGAAACAAATCGACCCAAAACCCAACCAAAGGCTTGATTTTGAGACATCTTTCCACATTATTAAATCGATTATAAGCTGCCCAATTTTGTCCAGATTGCACCCATCATCATCAATTGTTTCTGAATCCCAAATCAACCAAAAAAAAATTATAATTACAGAAGTTGAAAACAAAGAATAATCGAACAAAATTTAAAAAGTAATATATACATACTTGGAGATGGAGTTGAAGGGACAGAGCTCAATTTATCCTTCTTGGATCTACCGCTATGTCTCTTCTTTCTTGTCTTAATCATTTCTTCACCTGCACAAAACTCCTTATCTTCTTTCATTTCTTGCTCCAATCTTCTACGGGATCTCCGAGTGTTCCTTGGAGAAGCCGAATACCCCATTGCAGAATTTCTACTCTTGCATCTTTTTCGAACCCCACAAGGCTCAATTGCAGCCTCTTCAGCCATTTCATGCCTTTCAGAAAGTCGGGTTTTCGATCTCTTAAGAGGGGAAGGAGATCGCAGTAGAAGCTTGTGAAGCGGGAGAGTATAAGGGGGCCTCGGGGACAAAGTAGATGTAGGTGATGGAGTTGATATTTTCGGTGAAGATGGTACTATATCAAGAGAGAGATGAGGAATGGTTACTCCTGTTCCTTCAATGCAATGGAGAATTTTGGAGAGTCTTGAGACCGATTTGGTTAGACTCCGGGGCTCAGATCGATGAGAAGGCCGTGTAGATTCCATGGTTTTGATCTGATTCTGATAGATCTTGTGATTTTTCTTGGATTTCTTGAATGAGGAGAGAGGGTTATTGGTGTGTTTTATCATTGGAGGGGTTTTGAGCAAAAAATAACCGTTGGGGGTATTATCTTTTGAATTTTTTGAAACCCACTGCCAAACCCAACGGTAAGGAAATAAGAACTTTTTCGGCTTTCGACTCTTTTTGGGTATTGGTAGGTTCCATAACTAGTGATTAGATCAAGAGCCTGTTTGGTAGCCATTTTTCAACCCAAAAAATTTATATTTTTACCGTTAAACATGAAAATCAGCAGCTATTTTTGACTTGCTGTCTCACGTGTGGGACCCACCTGTTGTAGTTAACGGCTATTTTTTTTGCTGAAAATGGCTCCCAAACAGGGGCCAAGAATATGTAAGTGAAGAAACTTCTAGGGCTACAGTTTAAATCCAGAGTCATTTCTTCTTATTTCTTGTGTAATCTTGAAGTTTGCTGAATTTAGTATCATCCCATCCAGTGGATGTAAGTTTTCTATGCACGAAATGTTGATTGAATTCAGAGTTTTTCTATGCACGAAGTGTTGATTGAATTCGTAGTTGATATAGGTTTCTCAAAAGTATACAAATAAATGGAGAATTTTCCTTGGTGGACTTAATGCCCATATGTGTGGCTTAGTTCGAGGCATTTAGACCTTTTGGTGGTCGATGCCTTAAATCGTGTTATGCCAAGTGTTTGGTTCTACTTATTTTGTTGCTAAATGATGCTTTAGCAATTGAGACATCTTTTGCTTCAAAATGGCCCGGTGCAAACATTCAGAGACACATGAAAATGCAATAAGATCCTTTTGTGGCTGACATGGAATATAGATGGACAATAATTATTTCAATACGTAACACCCATCTATTCTTCCCCCAACATGTTGGCGATGGCGTGTAATTGTTTTTTAGAATTTATAGGATCTAATTTATTTCTTGTTCAATCTTCATCACTTCACATTTTCTCTTCACAGTTTATTATTATCGTTCCCCCTTTGCAACTGAAAAGTTTTTTCCTTTATTCTTTCCTCCAAATCCAACTAATGCTGTGTTTTCACTTTAGAAATATTGATTATTGTTGATCTTGCTATGTAATAGTGATTATTTTCGACCGTGGTTAATTGTTTAAGTTGTAATTGAGATTGTATCTATTAATATACAACGATGATAATGTAAAAGCGATATCATCTGTTAGCTCAAGTAGTGCACGGCGTTCTTGTTAGAATAATTCTATTATATGGACTTTCATTTAATTGCGAATTTTACGGGTTAGATGTATGGTTTGCAGTGATACTATGATTATGCCAAATTTGTTAGTGATCACTTGAGCCGTTTTACACCTTACATGCTTTATTATTTATAATGTGGTAATTTTAAGTATGTGAACTGAAATTAAGTAAACCCCAATTAGGGTTAGAGTTGGTAATTGACCGACTTTATAATTTTATATATATATAGCTAGGTCCCCTTTTCTCTCTATATGGTTTTGGCTTGCCTCATTGACGTAGATTATTTTGAGTAGTAAGAAGAGGAAGATCTAGCTGATAATATTCATGCATAACAATGTCTTCCGCATGTATGAACTTCGAACTATCTATTAATTATATATGATTCTTATTCTTAGCATGATTGTATTGAATAATTTCAACAATTGGTATCAGGACAGACATGCTAAGATTAAAATCCTTTGAACAAAAATTGATTTTCGAAATTCTTCTCCTCCTCACGTTGAAGTGTTATTATCATTATTGTGATCATTCCCCATCCGTCGTGCATATATATTTATAATACCACTAAAATAATTAAATAACGCATAAGACAGGGCAGACGTAGGCAGATTTTTCCTGATTCCAATTGATTAATTGGTTGACTATTCTATGTACGATTATATATATTTATATGTTTGTACTTTCTCTGTTTCTCAATCTAATTTCTAGCAATAAATGACAACAAAAGGGTATGCATTATATATTCTCCCACACATTCATATTTAAAAAAAAAAAATGAGGCGCATCTTTGACGGTCTCCACCGCTCCGTTCTACCCTGGACCTTGATGAAGAAGATAAATCGCAGGTTATGCCTTCAAGCATACATGGTGAAAGGCTGCTTGTACAATTACACTTATCTAAGGGTCAAATCCATATTTTAGGATTCGAACTCTTGACGCAACAATCAAGCAAATCCATGTTTTAGAATTCGAACTCTTGTCGCGACAGCCAAATAAAGTTGGAGTTTTTTCACCTTCCCCTTTTACCACTTGGAGATGTGACATGGGGGCAAGATTCATATTTTATTTTGACTTGTATGTGTGTGTGTATAGAAATTACTAAGATTCAACCTGTATGTTTTGAGGCTAAGGTTCAGTAATTAATTTGGGTTGTTTTGGGGATGGGTGCTCTTCTCGCAATATGTGATTTTTTGGGGACTTCTCCTGCAATTTTAATTAAGGAGGATGGTTTTTGGCTGTAATTCCTAAAATCTTGAGGCCCTTCTCATAATTTTAATTTGAGGGTCAACTTTTCAATTTTAAAATATTAAAATTTTAACTTTTAATATGGGATTTTTAAATTTGATCCAAATATATTTCAATTTCGACCTAAAGTTAAAATTACATTTAAAATTGACGACTTTATGTCTTTTTATTGAAATAATTAAATGTCAATATATAAAAATAAAATTTAGTTGCCAATTTCATCTCATAATCGCGCATGGATTTTGCTATTCGTCAATTAATGATTGTGATTATGTTGCGTGATTATTATTATTGAATTTTTCGTGGACTTCTAGTCCGTCTTAATGCTCCCATTAAAAAAAATATTTTGAAATAAAAGTGGGTGGTAACTGCCAAAGTGGCACACTCATTTTTATTTATTTGATTTTCTTCAAAAAAAAAATTGAATTATTACACATAATATCTTACCCAAATGTGTTAT